CTCTCAGTTCCCAGGATGCTTTGCACCTCCCCCATGACGCCCCTTCCCCTTGCAGGGTAGGCAGGCTAGCCTTGGGCCAAGCTGTCTGCTCCAGCCGAGCAGGGAGGTGCGCTCTAGGACACACCCATCTCCTCCCCCCAGCTTCTAGCCTGGGTCACTGCAGGCATGTGGCTGCATTTCCAGAATCAAACGTGAATATCTGTTCATTTGCTTATTGGTTCAATCTACACATTTTAGATTAAACTCGATGATTGAATTGATTCAGCCTCAGGCTTTTTGACTGTACTTACCTATGTTCACAAATAACAGCTGTTCTATTTGAATTCTAGAGCAACGTTTCTTAGGTCAGAAGGATGTCACAAAAACCAGCACTGTGACATCTGTTAAGTCCTAGGTGGCTGCGGACTAGGTGCTACAGTACCGAACATCACAGTGACAAGGCAAGTGTGAGTTCATTTGGTTGCCTTTCATTGTACTTCACCATTTCAGTGTACTTTTATAAACATTACATGTTATTATTTTTATTTACTGATTGACCTTCTACACTAACCCAATGCAAAGATTTGTTGGATATGGAGACTGCAAGATGGGCTATTCAGGGGCTGCTCTCTGAGCTGCAGTCAGGAGCTGCCTTTATTCCTCTCTTCCAATTGCACCGTGGAGAATATGTAACTTGTGTCTGCTCGTCTGTTATGCTGAAGGCTGGGAGCCACGTAATGTGAAGGAACTTTCCTAAATGCAGTTTCTTATAAGCTGGTTGTTAATCCTTTTTCATGGCTTTAAGGATAGTTGTGGCAGGGGTAGCTGTGAGCACACTGGCCAACCAAGTGTGGTCAGCTGGTCCAGTCTTTCTACTCCCCAAAATGTAACCACACCGAGAGACCTGAAAGCTTCCCCCTATTTGTTGGGGAAATAGGCCCTTAGAAAACAGTGTAGCTGGAGAGATATTTAAACTTAGCTCAAGACTGTCCTCATTTTAAATATAGTCCTATATCACAGTTCAAGCCCCCACTCCAGATCAGCCTGTAACCTTCCTTCTCCTATGCCCTGTCACTTTGACACTGAGTGGCAACAGAAATGAAAGGACACATTTTTATTCCCCTTATTCACATGACATCTTGAAGGGCCAGTGAGCCCCTCCAGATTTTTACCAGCATACACAAGAGCAGAATCAGGTCCAGGAAGCAGCATAAACCGTTCTCCTGGCTGGGTGTGGTTTTGTACATACTCTGGAAGGACCCCCTGGTTCAACAGATTGTGCTTGGGAACAGGAAGCCAGGATGGGAACCAACACACAGGACAAAAAAACAAGGTTAGTAGGCAGGGGAAGCTATTGCTGAGCAACCCTGTAACAAAAGGACCAGGCAGAAAAACTACTGGGTCCTGCCACAGGGGAAAGAAGTAGAGAAGCCAGGAGACTGAGTCCCACCCACCCCCACCACAAACTGTCCAAACCTGGGAAAGGCCGAGCTGCTTTGCAGAGGGATTAGGAGGCTCTGGCAGGACTCTGGGTAAGTGCCATTGCAGGAGAGGACCTTGAGAGGAGGTGGATGGGGTTGCCATGATCAGGGAAGCAAGACTTGGTGGACAACCAGCAGCGCTGGGGTTAGTAGGAAGGGCTTTTGTCAGATGGACTCGAGATACTAAGGAAGGGGTAATGGAGCTGCTGGGGAAACTGTGGGTAAAAGCTGGGAATTGTGGAAACAAGGGGGAGGAAGAAGCAGAAGAAGAGGAAGCACAAGAGAGGAAGCACAAGAGAGGAAGAAACTGAGGAAGTAAGGGAGGGGAAGAACTCAGCTTCCCATCTGTAAACTAACTGCTACCCCTGTGGGGCAAAATCCATGCCTGTGGGGCAACGTGTGTGGAGTTTCTGGGATGGAAGCTGCCAAGTATGGTCCATGCAACCGCTCCCTACCTGCTGGAGAGGATTGCAAGCATGCAGGGTTACTGTCATGCTAAGCCTACCTGGCAGAAAGGACCTGTGGCTGACTGAGTGCTGCCAGCGGGCATGGCTGGGCGGATGCTGAATGCAAGCACAAACCGTACTCAGCAGCAGTGTAGTAAAATGGTGCTGGAGGGGGTTTGTCTTTGTTTCCACTCACAGCATGAATCACGTTCAGCACCAGCTCAGCACTAGTCTTTGCCAACCAACACCCACTCTCAGCTGGGGGTGCTTTTTGTGAATACCTGGGCTCAGTGTACTGGTATAAATCATCTCGAAGGATGTATACGTGATTTCCCTGTGTCTTCTGGCTGTGATGCTGTTAAAAGCATATCCAGTCAGTTTTTTACTACAGTCAGTTAGTAATTTCAGGTACTGCATTTGCCCCCAGTTTCACCCACCAGTCATTGCAGTCACACAATCACACTCTCCAATATAAAATAGGTAGTACTCTCTCCCACATGAGCAAGATTATACAGATTAGTCAATTATATGGGTTAAAAAGCATGCAAAATAAATGGAAAAGACTGAACAGTCATTGCATTTTCTTTAACCTCTTTTAGGTCTTATCATCTAAGGTAGGACTTCAATAACAGTGAGTAAAAATGTTCTCAGACAGATGCATTATTAAACTGTGCTGTCCCTTTAAGTATATATGTGTCACACCACCTTCCTTGCACTACGCTGTCTACCTGTTATTTTAGTATAGCAGTAAAGTCTATTATCCCATTGTGTGGAAGAGGTGTAGATGTGTGTTTACTAGAGACTGCATTTTCTAAGTTGCAGTGAGCTGGAAATACAAAGGTTTCCATGGGGCTTGGATGTGTACGGTACATGTTTTCTCTGTCTAAAGGGCAGGAACTATTTGCATGACACAAGATGTAACTTCAGCAATTGCTGCTGTTCAGGGACAAAAAATATTTCCTGGCGTCTGTCACAAGCCCCAGTTGAGGAAAGCACCCAAGAACCGGCTGCCAGGGAATGAATGGGATACAGCTTGTGAGGTCTGGGGTTTTGCTTTGATTAAAGGAGAGATTCGTTTCTGAGATTGCAAGAAGGAAAAAAGCTCCTGCTCTCATTGTCTTAAAACTTATATGATGATGAATATGTTCTCAGTCAACTGCAGATTTCTTTTGTACTAGGAAGGAGACAACAAGGATTCTCTGCGCCATTTGCTGCTACAAGCTGGACTGCTATGTGTTTGAATGCAGCAGAGACACAAGGCCTGATTTCCAGAGATCTTGACCATCTACAGGTCCTAAGGGATGTCTTGATTCAGTCCCTGCTTGGACTGCACCTTGTGTTGAAGCACCTGATCAGGCTTTGAACTAGCTACCTCAGATACAGGGAGCAGGGAGCTGTGTATGCAGCATAGCTCCAAAATACCCAAGAAACTGGGTAAGTTTTGGGGAGATTAGTCTGTGTTGAGCAATGTGTTATCGTGACTACACTGCAAGCAGACACCAAACTATCCAGCTTGGGGGGTGCACACAGGTTGCAGTCACTACAACAGCTGCAGTGTACATATACCTAATGTGTAGTCAACAGGACCTGGGGATGCTCAGCCCTTCTGAGAATCAGGCCACCAGCTTTCACCGTGCTGTGAATCAGCCAAGTTAGCGAGTGTGTGTCTGTGCTATAGTCCCAGCTCTGCCAGTGCTGTTTTGTGTGGTCTGGGGCAAGTCATCCAGCCTCCCTTGGTTTCCCCCTATAAGAATGCTAATGATCACTCTCATGGACCCAGAGGGACAGCCTTCCATCTTCAGCTCCCTCTGTACAAAAATGAAGTTTATTTCCTACCTATGGGGACTTTTTACCATCTTGTACCATCTACACTTTTCCCAGAGTCTGACGAAGGGACTTTGATCCCAAAAGCTTGCAGAAAAGGACAGTTTTCTTGCAATTTCCCAGTTGGTCTAATAAAAGGTATCATTTTGGAACCAAGAGTTCTAGTTTTTTGTATGTCTCTAATGATCACCGTAGCATTGGGAAAAGGTGCTTCAAGCATGTAAACTATTCTGGAACTGCTAAATGTTATTGCTGCCATCCAGGTGTCCTATGAATTCTGCTAGAAGCCAAGGAGCACCCTCTGCTTACTCCTTTGTTCACTCCTCCCTTCCTCAGCCGTGGCCCTGTGGAGCTTGTTATCATGCTCTTCCCCTTTGCCTCTTGCTGAATGTGGGCTACATCGCTATTGCATGTAGTGTTAGTCCCTGGCAATTACGTAATGACCGGGTGAGGGCAGCAGTGCAGCTTTGGAGGGCCCTCATTAACGGTTTTACACAAGAGGCCTGCGGAAATCCAACCACCAACAGATCTGCAGTGGCTTCCAGTCTGCATTGTCAGCCAGGTTATTGTGAGCCTCTTCCCTCTTCTTTTCTGCCAGCTGAGCCAGGCAGCAACTGCCCGTTCATGCAAGAGGCAGCATGTGCTAGCAAAGCAGCGCTGGCTTTGGGGGAAGTTTTCCTCCATCTCTGAGGAGTCTGTGATCTGAAACAAAGACTGATCATCACCCAAGAAGAAACCCCTACCAGCCCCATCTGCTTCTCACCCAGTCCTGTCCACATACAGCACAGCACAATGAGCTAAGGGCACTGACTACCTAGGATGAGACATTCTCAGAAGCTGAAAACCAGACTAAACAGCCTCTGGATTGGATCCAGTATGGCTCATACTGTATTGTCCAGGGCCTTTTGGGGTTTTTGTTTTGTTTTGTTTTGTTTTTTGTTTGTTTGTTTGTTTTGCTGGTTTCTGAAGTAATGATTGGGTAGTTGATTCTCTGCTTGTACATTTACACTTCAACTTCAAGTCCGGTCTACCCTGTTTTTCTTGGGACTACTGGAGAATTAGCAGTATTATGATCTGGGCAGACCAATAAAGTGAAAACTGGGCAGTTGAGAGGCTTAGACTGTTAAAAGTCCTGATTCCATTTGATTTGTAACAGAATTAACAGAAACACCTGGGAAACAGTTGGGAGAAATGGTCTCTCTGTGAAAGATTCAAGATACCCACTTCTAAATGAAAAGTTAAGACAGCTTCATTTCCTTGAGCTCCCTTTTCCTTCCAGGAGACTGGCAGAGGCAAGACTATATTCCCAAAGTTTCTGAGAATACAGTAGAAAACAGGTAATGAATACCCTGAAGGGCAGGGCAAAACATTTTTCCTACCTCTTTTTATATCATAAAGTTTTAAAGAGGGAAATCATTCCCTGTCCTCTCTTTTTCACCTTTAATGTCCCTGACCTCAGCATTTGTAACTCATCAGACTGGTATATTTTCCTCCATGACATTTGCCCCTGTAGCAGGAATTCATTCAGGAGCTAATGTTAGTTCATTTTCGGTTGCTATGGGAGGCAGTTAGCATCAGGACAGTGGAAGGCGATACAAGAAGGGTAGCCGTATAGGTCATGGGGGTCTGTGTGTACCCTGAAATTATAGTCGATTCCATGAGATGCAGGAGAGATCACAACCTGTATCCTTGTTCCTCATCTGTTTTTATGGAATAAGGAGGAGATTTACTGAGTTGAAATGCCTCCTACCTTCTCCCCGGGATAACATGACCGATAGAGGTGTGGTGTCCTCCATGGACCAGTCTCCTCTGTGCTGCCTCAATGTGGCTGGTGCTCCACACAGTGGTGTTGTCCTGCTCTTACGTTATCATCTTCTTTTTCTCTGAAATAGCTCTTTTGCTTTATTTTGTTTTTAGGAATTTACCTAAAGAAAAATGACACAGAGACTCTTTGCAAAACTAGATGCTCTGGAGCAATCTTCACGTGAGAGCTTGGCCAAGTATGCCAGAATTGAAGTGAGTATAGCGTGAATCAGTACTGAATTAGGGATAAATGTGCCCTTTGTCAGCTTTGAAAGATACATTCCTCTCTTGTGTCATGTCTGTGCCTAGACAGGATGGCGACTGGCCCCATGTAATAAATAGCTACAGCAGAGGGATGAAGAGGAGGGGGAAAGAGAGACTCATTTTTGTCAGATTGTTTTGGGGACTGCTCCAGCCAGTGAAGCAAGGAGGTCACCCGGCACTTGAGAAAAGATCAAAAATTGAAGTCAATGGAGCTGCTTAACACAGAGCACCAATAAACATGCTTACCACCAATTGTCACCTCTTGCAGAAAGCCTCCCCACTACACCTCTCGCTAGATTGTCTGCTTTTAGACTGTGAAAGTCCTGGGTTGCCAGAGGTCTAGAAAAACAAATTCTTTGGAAAACCGTTGGTGGCAAATGCTGAGGTAACACATACAACAGTCATGCTTGTCTAGGACTTCCTAGCAGCTGTATTGCACTGTGGTCAAGCTAAAAAGACCATTTGAAGAATGTTTCAACTTTCAGTAAGTGCTTATGTAGAAACAACACTTTTTTCCTCTGGCGGTTTGCTTCTTGTGTGCGTCTTCAAATAAAAAATAATAAAATATACAAAGTTCTAACTATTTCTGACTGATGCTGGTTGTAAGTGCAGATGCAGGAAGAGAGTTTATGATTCACAGCCTTAACATTGCTTCACATAATAAAAACAAGCCGACTGCCCTCCTGCTCAGTTAAGGCTCCATGTACTTCTGATCTGTTGCAGTGTCGGGGGCTTGGGAAATTACAGTTAAAGCCATATGTGTCAACCCCATTGACATTTGAATTTAAGGAGGATTATGAATTACCCAGTGCTAGAAGATCAATTATTTCCGGGCCCAAATCTTCCCCACAGCTTGCAGAAGATGAACAGATCTTCACTCATCTGAAAACAAGGTGAGCCTGAACTGGAAAGTTTTATGTTTTATTTTTAGCTTGACTTAAAGGTACTTTAGATATGGTAAATGTACTATTAATAATTGATCTTACACTCAGTTCATTCTCCATGCAATTAAGCTAAGTCCTTAAAATTATCTTGTTTGCATGATTTACACCAATCATATAGTTAAAATGGATATAACTATAGATATTATTGTTAAGAAAAACCTTGCAATCAGGGGATTTTTTATATTGCGTGTCCTGTGTTGTGAAATGATCCATCACCATAAAACACAATGCAAACAGTAACTTATATTTAGGGATCTACCTAAATCTTGGGGAGACTTACCAGTTTTCACAGGTTGATCATGGTCTAAAGCTCTAATTTCCTGGTGATTTCACAGCAGCTCCACCCCTTGGCTGTGATTGGCACAGGCCCTGCCCCTTGGCACTGATAGGCAGAGAGGCCCCAGGATGGAGGAGGGACAAAGGGGCAGCCACCATCTTGACTGCTAGCTACCTTTTTGCAGCCCTGCCTCTTGGCACTGATTGATGGAGAGGCCCTGGCAAAGGGAGGAGCAATGAGGGGGTGGTCACCATCTTGTCTGCTGACCTTCATGCTGCCCCCCCCAGCTGGCACCTTCCCCTCCTGGCAGCAAAGACCACCACTGTTTTATTTTTATTAAGGTTTTTTTTGTTGATTTCACAGATATTGTGACAATCCCAGATTTTGGGATGTTGGCACAATCCACAAAACCACAAATTAAGTAGGTCCCTACTTATATTACCTGAAAACTGGCTGCAGAACATATAAGTATTTTTTTAACCCCAAAAGGAAGCCTTGAAAAAGTCAGACAGTTTGTTTTCCATGTAAGTATGAGATTTCTAAGTGATCAGAGATCTAGGGATTTATGACTTTATGACACAATATAAAATAGGAGATGTGGTGGGGAGTGGGGAGATAATACACAAACAGGGACCTACTGCTGTAACTTGGCAGAGATACATCATGTGTACTATTTTCAAACTGAACATGCCAGAGCTTGGAGGTGTCATGTGGCCCTGAAGCACTGTTACTGCCACAGAAATATTTTAAGGAAAAAAGTTGTCACGAAGTCAACAGCAAAGCTAACTACACTTTATCATGCATCAGCAGATGCATGACAAACAGATCCAAGGAGGTGATACTTCCCCTCTATCGGGCGCTGGTCAGACCGCAGTTGGAGTACTGCATCCAGTTTTGGGCACCGCACTTCAAGAGGGATGCGGATAACCTAGAGAGGGTCCAGAGAAGGGCCCGTATGGCTAAGGGCTTGCAGGCCAAGCCCTATGAGGAGAGACTGGGGCACCTGGACCTCTTCAGCCTCCGCAAGAGAAGGTTGAGAGGCGACCTTGTGGCTGCCTATAAGTTCATCACGGGGGCACAGAAGGGAATTGGTGAGGTTTTACTCACCAAGGCGCCCCCGGGGGTTACAAGAAATAATGGCCACAAGCTAGCAGAGAGCAGATTTAGATTGGACATTAGGAAGAACTTCTTCACAATTAGAGTGGCCAAGGTCTGGAACGGGCTCCCAAGGGAGGTGGTGCTCTCCCCTACCCTGGGGGTCTTCAAGAGGAGGTTAGATGGGCATCTGGCTGGGGTCATCTGAACCCAGCACTCTTTCCTGCCTAGGCAGGGGTTGGACTCGATGATCTATTGAGGTCCCTTCCGACCCTAGCATCTATGAATCTATGAATTACTTTTGTCTCAATTGTAAGCCCCTTTCACAGATGTCCATTTAATGGAAAGGCTCCTCCAGATTATGGGCTCATTTCTGAGCAGGTACTCCATCTGGAGAATGTACATCTTAGGGGGAAACTCCACAGCAAGGCTGTGTCAGCCTGCCAGCCAGATATTTCTAGGAGCAATTTCCGAAGACTAGGACCTGTTATAGAGAAGTACTAAGCCCCTGTTACCTTCAGTCCAAGTTTAAATGGTCAGCATTTTCCAGGACCCACCCTTAATGAGCACCTACAGCATTAAGATATAGGCAGCCATCTAAAATGTTTGTTGTAGAGCTATCATTCAGATGCTAAAATTCACTATTACAGTTATCTTTCATCACTTTGGGGGGGACATTTATTTTGTCACATTTGCAAAATATTGCTGTATATACTTCTGTTCTTTTGCAACATTTGCCTAGAAGTGCTGCCTACTTTGGTTAGTTTTTCCAACCCATTTCACATTTTCTGATCAGTTGTTGATTCTGAATTTTGTATCAGATATAGAGCTTTGATACTTTTAGCACTTGCAGGTCTGAATCACCCAGACTGATGATTAGGAAGAACCATACTGGCAAATCGACTATCAGGCCATTTAGTGCTCCAGACAACCTGCAAGCCAAGCCCTGCTATCAGCAAGGTACTTCTTTATAAAACACTGTGCGATCTCTCAAGTCTGTCCTAGAAGCTGTTTAGTTTATTTACAATCTTAATATAACACTGTGGGTGAAGTCTTGCTGTCTCATTTTACTAAGCATAATATTAGCACTATTAATGCTAAGCAATATTCTAATTACAAAAAGGGATGCTTTAGCTCTCAAGATAAAAATGCACTTTTTTTCAATGGTTTAGGTAAACTGGAAACTGCTTGTCTGCATGCCTTGCATGTGTAATGTCTGTATAATCCTTTGCATCTGCACCTACTAACCATCCAAAGTATTGTACAAATGAAGATTTTACGCTCAAGGAAAAATCTTCAGCTCTGTTATGGTTGAACCAGTATGTTGCAACTAGGAAACCACAAATATTCCAGCTGCATTGGTTCAGCTGGTCAGCCTAACATATCTCACAGTACAGTGCCTTGTGTTAGGAAATTTCCCAAGACCCTCTGCTCCCAGAGACAGTGCTGGGCATTATAAGATAGGTGTTTTCCAGGAGCCTCAGAACACACTTGTACAACCGCAGATGAAGGGAGTGCTGTGTGTGCATGGGCCAGAGCAGTTCTTTGAAGAACAGTGCTCCAGTGTAAACACGTTAAATCACTGCTTAGACATGCAAGGCAATGAACCATTTCATGCAGTCACTATTCTTGCTACAGGCTCTCGCTTACTGTTAATGCATAGTTTAATGGTTAATCTCTATTGTAATAGCTTAATCTAAAATACACTTCTGTTTATATACTCCATCAAATTATTCCTACTTTGTTTTGTATTCTTTTCCATAGAGGACCTACACACTTTAAAGGAAGGTTTTATTACATTAAAGCTAAGCCAAAAAGTAAAACCTGTTAGTTTTAGAGCCAAAGTTCACAGAAGACCAAAATGGAAGACAGAGGTAGGTCCTGTTCTCAGCCTAACCCAAAACTGAAGCTAATTCACTTTATAGCTGTCCTACCTCTAGCCAAACTTGCATGTGATTTTAATCATATACCAGCTTCCACTAGGTTTGGCTCACAATGTTTCAGGAGAATATAAGAGGAGGTGGTCTCTCTTTTCATGCAAATTTCTTTTCTGGTTGTACTATGGATACCCATGGAAAGTAGGCACTGTGGCTATGGGCATATCCAAAATGTTTGTTAATTCTTTTCTCTGCCTAAAATATGGTACAGCAGTTCTAGATTTTGAGGTATCTGAGTAGCTTTTGGTGTGTGGTGCTATGTCCCTTTTACAATACTAAAATAGCTTGGTGTGCAATTTACCATGATAAACTTAACTGCTTTTAAAGTAAGCAGAAAAATAAAATTACTACCAAATGGGACCCTTTTTTTCAGTTAAGCTTGAAGCATGTGCCTTAACTTGCAATTGTAACTCAGGAAAATAGTCCCTCCTTAAATTTACTTTGGTGGGTTAGAGCTTGCCACAAATAAATGTGAACATGTGGCTACAGGGCTCCTGATAAAGGCAATCCTGGAATAGCTATTCTCAGGTATGTAAGCTACACTGATGCAAGAAGAAACATTTACAGCACAAGTGAAAAGCAGTCAGCCATACCAGTAGAACAAAGCAGAAAACCAGCCTTCCTACTCTACACTGAGAAATAGTCTTACTATAAACAATTAGCTTTGTTTTGTTGCTAGAAATAATTACAACCTCTTAGGGTTAATTACAGATTTTTTTTTCTTCTCTATTGAGCCATAATCACCAGCGCCTGGTTTCAGAGCTCTAGGTATAGTCAAGATTTCCATTCAGGGTAAAGGCCAAATTCTAACCTCAGTTGTGCATCAACATGTATTTATAAAAACTATGATAGCCTTTTGATACCAATTACAATATGGGGCATTGAATAAACTACTACATCTTATTTAAATAGGAAGTAACAGTGGTAACCATATAATATCTATTGTAAATTGATGATTTAGACATCTATCACTGTTTTATGTTTTAGTAAAAAAACAATATGTGGGGATATATTTGAGATGTCTGCAGTGTTTATTACATTTGTTTCTAAATATATGGAATCTATAAAAATACACAGCTAAATCTGCATCTTGTGCATACTTGTTTTTCATTTTACATTGGTGAGTCATATTCTAATGTCATGAGCATGGTATTACTACTTGGATGACAATCTGGAAGGGCATTAACTATGCTCCTATTTACAACTCAAGCGCCTGAGTTCTTTCATTTTAACACAGATGCTACACTTGTTTTCTTTACTGACTTTTTAGCTTTTTCTTTAAAGGCAAAGAACATACAACATTTCTGACACACTATTTACAATGACAATGTTTAAAAAGGTTCCTGTGCTAACGTTATATTTTTGGTACTTTTAGTACTGGTGGGTCACAGCAAATACATCCATTTCCAGTATTTCCTGTATTTTTTGACAGGTTGAAAGGGTTCAGAAGCTAGAAGTCCTCTGTCAGCAAGAAAATGAAGCCTATTTAGCATCTGCCCTTGATCACAAAGATACTTCTCACTGGTGCTCTTCTAGGAGTGCCACCAGTCAGAATGAGGAGATACTTGCACCAGCTACAACAGGTAAGAACTGGAAAATTCCTTTGGTAGCCATGGTTTAGGAAAATACACTAAAGCCTGTCAGTAGTGTTACGATGTTTTAAAGAGACAGAATAAAAGTTTTCCTTTGCAGCAGATGGGTAGAACAACACAATGGTAGAGTAAATGTGCAAATGTTTACAGGTTTCCTTTGCATCTAGTCTATTCTTACTTACATTTTCCTTTGATTATATAACTGCTACTACCAATTTGTTCAATTGCTTACATTAATCCTGAGATTAAAATTTCCTTATAAAGGTTCCATGGTAAAATATGCACTCATGGACCGCGTCCACATGAGCGTGGACATCTGTTTCCCCAGGGACAAGAAGTAGTGGCACACCTTGTGGCACTGCTGCTTGTCCCTGGGGAATGCCTCTGCCACATGCCCTTTGGCGCATGGCAGGTTACCCTGGGTGCGGTAGGGTAGGCTGGAGCCAGAACTGGGTTGGCCCCAGCAGCTTTACCTGAGATCCTGGGGGTCTCCTGGGCCTCCAGCTGGCCAGGCTCCAGTTTTGGGTGGTGGCATGCACTGCACCCATGTGCGCCACTCTGCTTTTTTTGTGTGGGGGAGATCCCAGGGTCAAAAAAACCTGCCGTGCTGCTACCTTACAGCATGAACACCTAAATGTATGGTATGTGGCACAGAAGATGTGTCTGTGGCACCGCATACTGCATGGCTGCTCTCATCTGGATGCAGCCATGGGGTGCAACCCCACAACCACATGTGTGGTTTGCGGCGCTTCAATCCTGAGCGGAGGGGGCAGGGGGCAGGGGGCATGGCCAGATACCGTCCCCAGGCCAGCACGCTGAAGCTGAGGGGAAGGAGAAGGGTTTAAACCCTCTCTCCTGACCGCATGGGACCCCAGCCAGGTGTTGCTGCACCCCTGCCAGACGGCCCTGGCTGGGGCCCTGTGCAGGCAGGAGAGGGGGTTTAAACTACCCTCTCTCCCCTCTGTCTCAGCATGTCATCCTGGGGCTGGTATCTGGCCATGCCTTCCCCCTGCTGGAGTGGTGAGCACGGGTAAGCCAGGCAGGGGCTGCTGTGCCCCTGCCAAGCAAACCCTGGCTGGGGTCCCGTGTTGGAAAGGGGAGGGGTTTAAACACCCCTCTCCTCCCCTCTGTCTCAGCATACTGACCCAAGCTGGGGCCTGGCCATGCCTCCCCACGCTCTCCAGTGGGAAGCAGGAGAAAAGCCTACCAGGGGCTGCTTCCCCCTTTGAGTTGCTGCAAACTGCATGTGAACCCATTTGCCGTGCTACTAATTAGCAGTGCAGTGGGTTTTTTTGGCACTGGGAAATCCCGGTGTAAACAAGAAATGCCATTGAAAAAAGTGGTGTGCTGCACGTGGCAGAGCCATGATCTGACTGCTGGCCGGCTCCGAGGCACCAGATTTCTGCTGCTGCTGCCCCAGGAGGCCCCAGGACCCCAGGGAAGGCTGCTAGGGCCAGCACAGGAGTTGGCCCCAGCCTTCCCTACCCACCCTGGGACAATTTGCCCTGCACCAAGCCCATGTGCAGGGGTGTATGCAGGGGCAACCATGCACCCCTCCATGTGGGGATGTTTCTCTGGTGTCTCAGTGCTTCCATATCAATTTTTGCTGTATTTACAGGTAAAAGATATTTTTTTAACTGCTTGACTTGTCAACTCAGCCTAAGATCTGACAAACAAATGAAGTCATTTCTGACTTAGGGCATTAATCCTAGTAATAAATGTTTTGAGGGGTGAATATCACCTTCACTTACATCTGCACAGCTGCACTGTCCTCAGATTTTTCTCTCAGTTACATTTGCACGTTTTACTAAATACACTGTCTCCCCCTTGGGTATTTTGGCATGAAGCCTGTAGTTCCTTGGTGGCAAGGCCTCAGCACCACCTATAGGCAGGATGTTTGCACTTCTCTATCTAGCCCTTACTATTGCTCTTTGCCCTGAGTCTCCCTTGCCCTGTACATGTGATTCCCTTTGCAGAAACTGAATTGGAAGCCAGGCTCTTCAGTTTCTTTATGCTTTTGTGCACCAGTGTACAACCAGCAGAAGTGTGGCTTTAAGAATGCTGTTAATAATTCAGTATTCAATGAGCCAAGAGTGCAGTGCACTATAATTCACTACAGAGCGTCCCATCAGTTAGAAGCAAGCGACAAGCTTGACTGACTGCAAGAAGATGCAGTGTATCCTGATATGTGATTCTAGCTGCCCTACCGCACTTCTGTCACTATTTTGGGTTTCTTGGTCTGCAGAAGGAGTCCCTGTTGCTGAATTGTATTCTAATAAATCATCCTTTATGCAAAGTTGTAGGCTAGAATCATTCAGTTTAAACCACTGATATAATTTGGTGAAAGATGTTTCACAGTGCCTGATGTCTAATATTATCTTCCCAGAAGTAACTTGCATCTCCTTTATGTCCCTATTTACATATCATGTATGAAAACTCACTTGCCTTTCAGGAGACAAGTTAGGACAATACAGCACTTATGGTGAATCTGGCAAAACTGTTGCTCAACAGCTAGAAAGAGACAATAAAATCTGTGTCTGTGTCAATGGGCTTTTATCATCAGATGATCAGAAGGCAGGGTAAGTACTGTTGTAGTGTAAACAGTATTGCAAATTTAAGTTAAATTATCTTATAAATGACATACTGCATGGCAGCTCCCAATAATTCAGGAGTTCATATCTGACTCTTCCTGTCTTTCTAATTATGACCTCATTCAATAGTTAAATGGCACAAAAAACAAGGTTAGGCCTGGACAGAGTGGAGGTGTAGAGTATTTGGAGCGGAGAACCTCCTGGAATGTGTAGGTTTGTGAAGCATAAAGTGCTGTGGGCAATTCAGTAGGTAGTTCCCTCCCTTCTGTGTCAGTATTAAATCAGGGCTCCAGGAGCAGGCAACTGAAAATACTTCCTTTAGGTACTTATTTTACTGTTGCTGAAAATACTATTTTACTATAAAGCAGAAAGGTCATTCTGGTTATACCTTCCACAAGGGATAGTTCTGGTGTAAGTTTTTGCAAGGACAAAATCATTAACCCTAGGGGCTGCTCACTTTCTAACCAGAAATTACATTTTATCTACTTTCAAATAGCCTTCCAATTTCCAATGGATATAAAATTGTACTCTCCCGCTGAGCCCTTTTGTAGTGTTTCACTGAATGGCCAAGCTGTGTTATATCCTACTGCAGACTTGGCTGCACTAAAAAGATGAATTGACTTTGCTCTGTGCACTGGAGAGGTGGGTAGTTGTCTGCTAATCAAAGAGGAATGACAGTGTTCAATGAGCCAAGAGTGCAGTGCACTATAATTCACTTGCCATTGACCGGGCCTTGCCATCGACTAGGCCTCAGAGCCCTTCGCTCAATCAGAGGCCCCCCCAGCATTGTCTGCATCACTTTGAGACCCCTCCTGGCCCTGTGCCACGCTTTGGGCACCAAGGGTTCTTCCAGCTTTTGTGGGGAGAAACCTAACCGCTGCTGGCTGGGTTTACCTAGCCTTATGCCTAGTCCTTCCCTTTTCCAGGCCCTGCTCTAGGCTCCGGGGCTCTTTTAGTTCTTTAGCCAGGCCACACTACAGGGCTCCAGTTATCTGGCTTATGGCAGGGCTAACCTGAGCAGCCTCAAGCTGCTCCCAGGGCAGGTTCTCTGTGTGCTGGCCTGCATACCACTTGGGGCCCGAGCAGCCTCACGTTGCTCCCAGGGGTGGCTCTCCACGTGCCAGTCTGCACACCACTCCATCCAGCCCTCTGCTGAGGATGCAGGCTTGAGCTGCCTCAACGCAGCTTCCAGAGCCTGTGCCAGCTTGCGCACTGCTGGGGCGAAGAAGGGATCCCGGTGGAGGCTCTTCCCTCTCCAACATCCCTCGCTGTCTCTGCCCAGTGTGCTGGGAAGGGGTGGCCTGAAGGGTTTCTTTCCCAGCTTCCCTCCAGCCTTCCAGCCACTGTCAAAGGGAAGGGAAGGCTGCTTTAACGCCCCCCGGCTTCTAGCCTGAGCCACTGCAGGCACGTGCCTGTGTTTCTGGAATCAAAAATGAGTCTGTTCACTTGCTTCTCAGTTCAATCTACGCAGTTTAAATTAACCTGCAAAGATTCAGTGGATTCAGCCTTAGGCCTTTTGACTGTCTGTACTTAGCCATAGAGCTGCTGGGTACTGAGCATTTTTTTAAATCTAGCCCTAAATTTCCACAAAGCCCACTGCTTTCTCCTCATTGTCAGTTGCCTCTGGGCAATATGAGCAACGCCTCAGATAAGCTGAGTGACCCAGTTTAGCACATGCTTCTGAAACACTGCTGCCTTAGCATGTCTCTGGTGACAAACAGCTATCTGAGTCATCTCTGGTTTAAATATGGGATGTTTGCTTTCTTTATTTTAAGAAATGAAGCTCTTCTGAAGGAAAGTGCTTTTAATCAAGGAAGTGTGAAGAGTAACTTGCAGTCAAAAAAATGTAATTCAGAAGAAAAGAAAAACCTCATTTCCTTGAGCATTGAGGATGAAATGGAAAAGCCTGGTGCCAAAATAATCCATGCTGGATCATCAAAGGCAAAATGTGCCAGTCCAGTGGTAATAATGCTCTGTTTGTTTCACAAAGGTTATTACAGGACCTATATTATTGCATGCTGCTGTTAGGAGAATAATCTACTCAGAACACATCAGATCCCCACAATGGTAGATTACATCCCATGAGCTGTTTTACTGTCTGCACTGGGAATAGCATGAATTCAATGTAACATTCAGCAGAGCTGCAATCCTTGTCCCAGTGAAGTAAATGGAGTTTTGCCAGGAGGCAACCCTAGGAAATTTAATGTTTTGGGTACTGGCCAGTTTCCTAGGGTTTCAATTAAGAAACTCTGCAGGAGATGAGACAATGAGTGTCTTTCTGGTTCCTGGAAGACAGGTTAAAGTAGCAGTCTTGGGACACATCAGTGCCAACTTGGCCTCATTCTAGCACACCTGACCTGGTCTACTGCCAGGTCCTGCTTAGTTTGCAAATGAGCAGGATGAGACAGAAGGCAGAAAACACTAGGGTCTGCCGATAGGGAAGATCTGACTTACAGCTAGTGACCATGTGGAAGGAAGTGGTGTAAACTTCATAAGGTTAGTAAGAGAATATGTTCTAGTACTGAACAAGGGTTGGGACTTGTTTGACAGAATATAGGGATCAGGGCACTTCTTTGGCCTGAAGATGGGGTTAGGAGTTGGAGATGAATATTCACATGGTTCTAGCCTGTTAATAAAGAGTAGGAAGGATGAATACACACGCACACAGGCACACACAGACACGTTCATGGTGCTTAAGGGTTAAAACTTCATTATCAATATTAAAGCAAAGTAAAATGGCAATTGAACCCTAAGGTCTCCCTAGGTTTTTTTAACCCTGAAGAGCAAACTTAGCTTGTTTAAGGCATGTCCTGAATGAACTCTTGCCCTGGCCTTATGGCTGATTCCACTTCCTGTGGTATTTTCTGCTGGAGTTATTTTGTTCTGATCTGTGTAAGGACTGTAAAGAGCTGTGGGGGAATTTTCTTCCAATGAATCCTCTATGCATCTTTTTCACTTTTTTCCTATGGTCTTCTGTAATATAAACAATGCCCACTATCTGTGAAGTGTGGAAACAAGTATCAAAGACATATAATAAGCACACTTTATTATATGGCACTGCAGTGTATGATGTGGATGTTTAGATATGTATGTGATGTTACTGGCTAGGTCTCTGCCTCTGCCATTTTTGTGAACAACTTCATACAAATGTCATAGAAAGAGTATTAGTAGCAGGAGAAAAAATTAAAGTTCAATTTCTTTTTTCTACAGAAAGCGAGTGAAACATACCCCATAACTTACTCTGAAGAGAGATATATGCAGAAGTTTATTTTGAATAGGTGGCCATGTGTATGTAGAGGTAAAGTCTCTTATGACTTAGAAAATGAAAATAGCGAAGCATGTACCAACTTCAACCCAGTGTTACAGAACAACTATGATTACGCCCTTGCCTTAAATGGAGAAAAAGAAGAAAGTCTTCAAAATGTAACTGTAAAGAAAAATAAAAAGCTAAACAGAACATTGTCTGCAAAAAAGAAAGTCAGCGTTCATATTTTATCTTCAGATGGAAAAACCAAAATATTAATAAATTCACAGAAAGAAAAAACTTTTGTGGAGAAAATAGTTCAGAGCTTTTTTTATGCTGAAGCACCAGCCAGTAAATTCACATCAAAAGAGAGGAACATTTCAACAACAAAGGCTGAATGCGATGGAAATGACCTTCTTGTACATGGAGTGAATCCAAAATTAGCAGTATTCTATGAAAGTTTTTCTACACAAGAGATTCCAGTAGCAGTCTCTAAATGTTGCTGGTTTTATGGAAAGCCACTAAGTACCATTTCACACACACAGAAGAAAGGTAGGTTGGCCCAGTCATCACAACTGAGTTATATATCCATAGCAAAACCCATTGAAATACTTCCATGTGCAGATGTCACATCACAGTCAGCTCACAACATCTCAATGCAATGTGATGGTTTGGAAAACAAACACGTTATTCAGTCCAGCTCTTATTTTATGGAAGAACCTCTGCCAAGTCAGAACAAAGTAGGAATCTTTGGAGAATGTTCCCAGCCAGCATCATCCTTCAAGGAAGAAACACCAACTGATATAAAGCTAAATAAGCAGCAGCATTGCTTGGAAGGTAAAAAGGATTGTGATGCTTCTTCAGGAGTTTCGCACACCGACAGATTGTTGACATCAAAAGGTTTGCAGAAAGAACCAAATGAGGACACTAACCCCCAGAGACAAGTAGAACTACCTGAATGCCCACTGTCACTACCTGCTCTTTTCACTAGCCATCCAGTTATCAGTATACCAACAGCCCAGTGTGATACCTAAGAATCTAAGATAGACGTATTTGAGGCTGAATTTGCAGGTGACATTACTGATATGCTAAAGGGTATCAGTCTCTGATTAGCAAATAATGCTTGTAACAATGGGTTCCCCCAAATGATGTGGAACTCACTTCCAATTGAACACAACTCTCAATCTAAATGTTAAATTTTCTCAGAACAGCTGATGTCCTGTACAAGAGCTTGTATAACCAAAGGAGGTTTGCTATTGCAATGAATTATGATGTAGTGACGTTAAAGGTATATTAATCTCTCAACGATTAATTGATAAGGAGTCTTTATTTAGTGGTTTCACAGGTCACATACAAGAGACATTTAAGCCCTCTTTCTGAAGTGGAAAATAATTAAGGAGTTTATATCTTTTTAAAATTGTGAATGGCTTTGGTTGTGGGTATTTCAAAACATTAAGAATAACTTTGATTTACTCTGAGGATGTTTTGAGTTTAGATGTTTAAAAAACAAAACATCCAAAATGATGCATCTCATGTTGATTATACTGAGTCACATCCATTATATAGTTTATAGTATAGCGGACCTTGTTTGTAACACTAACAAAATTGCATGTAGTGGAATTAGCTTTACCCTCTGTTACAATATTGGCTTAGCTGGGTTCCTAGCCAAAATGCATTGAAGACACTGTGCCTAGGCAACTGAGCACATTGCATCACTTGTCAGCTAATATTAAATCTATGTTACTGTCTGAGGGCATAAAAAGAGTGGGGGGAAATGTTTCTATGTAGGGGCTGTTTGGAACTGAAATGAATACAAGAGGTTAATATCTGATCCTGTTATTTAGAAGACAGTTGTTACACACAACTAAATGTACATAATAAACCTACTGTACTCAGACCTGGTAGTTCGAACATCTAATTAGATAAGCAGTTGCACTTCATTACTTTTTCAACATATGATTTGTAACAGCTCCACAATTCAATTATTACGTGCCTAAATGATGGTGTAGGTGATGGGCCTTAGGTATGATTCTGTGGTTTGCTAGAGTACAGGAAGCTACAGCTGAACACCTAATTTGTTTTCTGACTTGTGTCCCTGTGCTTGTATGTGTAAATACTGTATTTGTAATTATTTGCTTTCTGTCTCCTATATATGAAAGCACTGAGGGATTTGACTGAATTCAATTCGATTTTTTTAAATTAAGCATTCACTGGCCATGTCTACAGAAGACCCTGACCATGCAGTAGCCCGATACTACTGTACAGTAGCATTGCTTGGCAATAACTGATGCAATGCTACTCCGTCATGAAAAAAGGTGTGTGTCGGCACTACTGCGCAGTACCTCAGGTTATACAAGTACTAAATACAAATATTCAAGTACTAAATGACTGTGCAGTAAAAACTGCGCTGTCCGTGCCTTGTGTAGATGCAGCCACTGTTTCCAATACATGTGTGTTCCAAAGCTGTGACACAAGGGCTACCTCTATGTTGGCTTATGGGAGCGGGGCACATAAATCTCGTTTCCAGCTAAATCCAAAAGCCTGGTGCTGCCCCCTGCTATGATAGGGAGGGGCTCTTGTGCACTTCCATGGCCAGGTTAGGGTGTGGATTGTGTCTTGGGACTGTTGCAAAATGCCCTGCACTGAGCTCAGCTACATTCACTTGGCACAGGGACAGGAATATATCCATGAACCCTATAGTCTATCAATCAAAAGTGCAGAGTACAAAATCTAAAGGAGTGGGAGATCCTTCCTCTTTGGGGTTTAACTTACCAATAACACCCCCCACCCTCACCCCCACCCCCAGCACGTTCCCTCTGCAGTCAGTGAAAGGGACTATCCTCTAAATCAGTGGTTCTCAACCTTTTTCATACTGGGACCCATTTGCCAAGATTGATGGCTTATCCTGACCCACATGCCTCTAGCCCTGCTGGTGCCCCTCACTCTCAACTTGCTGCCTCCTGGCCCCCTCCACAGCCCTGCCGAAGTGGGGCCCCAACATTGGCGATGCGTAGGGGGTACCCGCAGGTGCACGTGCACCCTGAGCTTGGTGGTGCACCCCCTGCAAAAAGGTGCTGCTGACACTGCTGGTGGCACCTGCAGGTGGTCACCTGTCACTACCTGCCCCCTCCCCCCCAACTCCGACAGCACTGGCTGCATCTGCAGGCAATCCTGATTGCTGCTGGCGGCATCTGCAGGTGGTCCTCACCCCCCCACCGCTGCTGACAGTGCTGTGGCCACCTGTGGGAGCTCACTGCTTGCCGCAGCCATACTCCTGCTGCTGACAGCACCACTGAGCAGCGCCTCCTGGCCACCCAACACCTGCAAGTACAGGCACCAGCCCTGGTGTTGCCAGCCTGGTCACATAGCTCCCCCCTGGCCCTTCCCCTGCTGAAGGGGCAGGTGCCTTCCCCCTGCCCCACCTGCCTTGCTGGAGCCTCAGTGCCCAGCCACCTTCCCCCACTGTCAGTAGGCACCGCCCCCCCCACACCCATCCCCTCCACATACACACACTTACACACACTGCCACCCCCACCCCACAACGGTCCCCAAGCCCTGGTCCTCCAACCCCCCCTCAACATACACTTACCTGCATCGAGCTGCTGGGGCTGCTCCCACAACCCAGCCTGGCTGCGTGCTGGCCACAGCCCAAGCAGCCCCTTCCAGGCTGGAACATTGCCAGTCTGCAAGGGGGAAACTGCTTTCACGCATTTTTCTGGCACTTGCTTGCGACCCTTTAAAATATTCTTGCAACCCACTTTTGGGTTGCAACCCATGAGTTCAGAAATGCTGCTCTAAATGCAACTTTCCATTTTGTTAGACAGCTAGGACCTGATTCTCCCTTCTCTTCCAGCAGCATAAAGCAGGAACAACTTCATTGTCACCAGCAGAGCTACACTAGTAGTAGCAGTCAGTCCAAATCTTTCAGGGAACAGAGATTCTTGGCCTGGAAATGACTTGTCCCAAAAAGGACATCTGAATCAGAAGTCAAAGTTAAGAACTTAAATGCCAACCTCAGAGATAGCAGAATGAAGAGTTAGCTCATCTCTCTAGCTAAATTTACTGTATTCTGTGGTTTCCAGTTATGAAACCAGGCCTCATACTGACCCTGATGTTAGCTATTCTGTAAACAGGAATGGGCATTTGGGGACATATATTAGACCAGGGGTGGGCAAAATACAGGCCGTGGGCTGAATCTGGCCAGCTGGCTTGCAGTGGGTCCCTTGGCCCTGACTGGTCCAAGTGTGGGAGGCAGTCTGAGCCATGATACATGCAGCTGGTCCCGTTACCCCTGGGTACGCAGTGGTGGCATGTCTGTTTCCTGGCAGCCCCAGCTTCTTCTTGCTTCTACTGCCGCCAGCCCCAGCCCCACTGCCTGGGCACCCCAGCCCATCTGTCCTACACCCTGCACTGCTCCCAGTGCACTCTGTCCTGCACTGGGAGCACTCGACAGAGTGGGTGGGTGGGGTCTCCATGGAGACCAGCTTGAGACCCACACAGACAGGGCGCGTCGGCCCAGTGGATAGGATGGAGCTGTGGGCGAGTGGGAAGCAGCATCTGGAAGCAGAACGAGCGGGTGAGGCCAGGGCTGGGATTGTGAGGCAGGATTGCGGAGAGGTGTCAGTGCAGGTCTGAGGCCTGGGGCAGAGCCAGGATCTGCTGCCTGCATGTCTGCAGCCCTGCAACAGGCGCTGGTCCCGCAGGCAAGGGCATGCCAGGAGTAGATCGTGGTTCTGCCCTGGGCCCCAACCCTGCGCTGTCACCACCCCGCAATCGTGCCCTGCTATCCCAGAACCACCCATCCATCCTACTCCTGGACGCCACTCCTCACCTGCCCATGGCCCCATCCCATCCACCTAGCCGCGTGCCCTGTCCACAGGTCCTTAGAGACCCTGGGATCATCAGGCAGTGACAGCACAGGGCCAGAGTCACTGAGGGAGTTTTGGTGAGTTGTTGCAGGGCAAGAGGAAAGGGTGCTGACCTGGCCTCTGACAGCTCACCAAAACTCCCGAAGTGGTGCTTGGGCCCAAATAACTGCCCACCCCCGTATTAGACCTCAATGTCAGATCCTTTTTCATCACTGCCTCTGCAAATAAGCATTTGTTAAGGAGGACTTCTCCAAGATCCTCACAATGCATCTGTCTGGTCCTTACATGACCTACCTGCTGTAATATCCAGCTGGCTCCTAATTCAATAAAATGACAGGCAAAAATCACCCTTCTGCCTGCAGAAGCAGCTTGAAAGGTAGCAGGTTTCCCCTCTTCTCTTTCTTCCTGTGTCCCCGTCAGCACCGCTGTTGGAGCAGGGTGAGGCTGCGTGAACCCATGAAGCGTGTCTCGAGATGTGGCCAGTTAAGCCAGGAATAGCAGTGTGGGGGCACCTTCCCTCCGCTGCTGCTCTTTGCCTACGGTTAAGGCACAAGTCCCCGGGCACAGCACAGGAGACGCATACCGAGGGCTTTATATACCCTACCTTAATATTTGGCCTGGACCTTTTGTCTGCCAAAGAGCTGTCACGCCCTCCAAAAATCAAAAAGCCAACACTGCCGGCTGGACACGGCCAGGCTAGAAACCACGGCCTTCGCTAGGAAAGTGAATCATCTTTACGCAGACAAGGTTCTTTGGGTAAATGTGAGACCTTTCATCAGACCAACTAAAACAGCTGGGAAAATTGTTCTTGGCAAGCCCCCGGGTGCAAACGCCCATCTTCAGGCATGAAACCCCCACCTGCGCGCGTGGGGGGGGGGGGGGGGGTTTGTTTCTTTTATTGGAAAATGTTGCAGGTCCCAATCCCAAATCCACGAGTCCGACAAACACCTCCAGCTTCAGGTGCTTGCACAGCCGACATGCAGGCCCGAGCCCCCGAGCTTCGCTGGCCCTCAGCCCTAGGGTGGCAGGAGCCTGCCCTTTCCGTCAAGTGGGAGGAAAGCCAAGATGTTCCCAGTGGGAATGAAGGTGGCAGAGGGCCACTCTGCACAACCTCCACCCCGGGCCACGAAACCGGACCCTCACCCTGAGCTGGGCAAGGGGCGCTGAGCCGCGCAGGGCAGAGCGCAAGGGGACAAGAGAAGCGGGCTCGCAGCCCAGGCTCCGCCCGGAGCCACCGCCTCCTCCTCCTCC